GACTTGGAAAATAAATTGCTATTTTGGAATGAGTTTGTCTTAACAAATGTAGTACATTCATAAAATTAGCATTGAAAATTATTATTTTTTAATTGTGAATTGATTATTAATCTAAATTAACTTTTTAATTAAATTTTCTTCATAATCTTGAATATTGTCTTCTTGAATCTTGTCTTCACAGAAAAAAAGCAAAAGAGAGTAGAACTGTAATGAAATACACGATCTCGTACATTGCTCTATGTTTTCTTATGCACTTTATCAATTGTAGTGAAAGATATCCCACCTTTCGCATGAACTCAGCACTATGTGCAAGAAATGTAGGGCCTCAAGAAATTAATTGCAAAAGAATGATTCTATTAGTAAAGCAATCAGAAAATAAAAGAAATATGAATAGGGTGTCAGGAAGTAAAGCATTATCTGAAGAAGAAAAGCAGTAACCGTCAGTTGAAAGATATTGAATAAAAATTGTGATTATGCATTATGCTCTGTATCTAATCATTTGAACTTCAAAGATGCTAGAGGCGAATTGTATTTGGCATTTTATGGTCAAGTGTAACTCCGGCAGCATTTTGAAACGATTTTAAGAAGATTGCTATAAGACTAAAAGTATTATTAATTTTTGTTATAAAACATCTAGTAATACATTTTTATTTATAATACTACAATTTACAATATTAACTAATGCTAAATTTACGCACTTTGTTTGATTATGTTAATATAAATAAGCAGGAAAGTAATAAAATCGTAAATCGTTTCATTTTCTTGTTGCAGTTATCGAAGCTCGATGCCGGTTGCAGTTTAAAATATTTAATACTGTAACTATGTTTTCTCCTACACATTGGCTGTAGAGTTCAGGAGGAATGTTCAGTTGATCTACAGATACTCACTCAGAGGAAGATATTTTTGCTCACCCTGCGCGTATCCGAGTTGCGGATTTTCAACTTAGAAGCGGAATCTTTTCACGAATTTGTAATTATATGTCTTTAAAGGTGTTAAATATTGCATGTGTGTTGTGTTTGTCCGTGTGTAAATTGTGCGTGAGTTCTCCAACATGTGTCTCAAGCATTTCAACCCAACCACACACAGTTGCTATCAGAATGCCCAATCTGCGCATTACAATACAATTTTTATTTATTCATAATTTTAATATCAATACATTTTTAATTTTTACAATTATCAATTAAGTGATATAATCATTAAATCTGCAACTAAGGGTTTCATTTGAATTTAAAACCAGTTTAAATTTATTTACTTTAAATAAACCTACTTTTATTACAACATTAAAGTAAAATTTATGTGTCAGAACTAAAAACTTAAATCAAGTTAAAATCCTTCTTGAGTTTTTTAAATGAATAAATAGTGTTTTTTTTTTTACCATACAATTAGCTATTGTGATTAATTTTTAAACACTGATCTATTTAATGCAAAAGCTACGTTTAGAAAATGTTATTATTCTTAAAGCTGTATATATATTTTTTTATACAAGAAGAATACAGATTTCAGCAGATCTAAGATGAAACAATTTATAGTATACTACATAGGAGGACTGCTGTTTTCAATATAGTTTTGATCATCTACTCCTCAACGTTTAGGTGGCCTGATGGTCAATTGTCTGGGGCTCTGGCCTTTGGTACTATAGTCTTCAGGTTCGAATCCTAGTTGTGGCATGGATATTTGTTAGTGTTTGGGAATCTTCGTCAAACTGTAGGTCCCAGTCTAATTAACCTAAAGTGTGCAGAAAATGACCGTAGAGTGACAAACCAAACCCCAATGTTTACAGAGTAAAAAGCGTTTTTAAATATTCATATTTTATTTACCTATTTATTTTAGCTTACTCGTTGCCTAGTGCTAAAGTATGTTCGTTCATGTGAAAGAGATCTCCAGCGATTACGAATTATGGTCAGGGCTTTGAAAAGATTTGGTTTGGTTTGCCATCTATGGTCAACTTGTGTGCACGATGGCTAAACAGATAGGTACCTACAGTTTAATGCGGATTCCGAACCACTACAAACATCCATGGCACCGCCAGGACTCGAACCAAAAACCTGCGATCCCGGGGGCCAGAGCGCTAGCCACTCGGCTATCTGGCCCCCTTGAAATGGATATATGGTGTCGATTATGTCAGAAACATATTACTTTTAATAAGTAGCGTTTGGAATCGAAATGTGGAGTTGAAGTTCTCCAATTTTTCTAAAATACAACACGAAATATGAGAAATATGAAATATGAGCCGGAAAACGTACCCCTCCACCCACACCGTTCAAGGTGAAGACAGTGACATATCAAAATAGCTTCTTCTTTAATGGAGCAACTGCCCCGTGGTGGGCCAAGGTCGTCTGCGATAATGAGGAATTAATGTGATAATAAGGAATAAGATTATTGATTTCTGATCGTACACGTTAAATATTTAACAGATGGGATGCTCAGGTATTCAAAGAAATCATTAAAAGATAATTATTATCAGTTTTAGGCTTAGGATAGTTGATATTAATATTGAATTTAGAAATCAATTTTAATGCAGCTTAAGTTATATTTTATGCCTTATTTAAGGTCAAAAATTACTAGACATGCAGCATTTTTTAAAATATTGTTTCGCAGATACACAATGTATTAGCAGAAAATGTATTAGCAGAAAAAAGGACTTTTAGTAATAATTAATTTTTTGATGAACTACGAGTTAGTTAGCTAGTATAGTATAGCTTTAATCCATAGATAACTAGCTTTTTGCATTGAAATTAAATTTGATGTTTTTACTTTTGATCATTAATTGCATTTGAAATGAAATGAAATTTGATGTTTTACTTTTGATCATTAATTACATTTACATTGAAATTAAATTTGATGTTTTACTTTTGATCATTAATTGCATTCTTCTTCAATGGTGCAATAGCCCCGTGATGGGCCAAGTTCGTCTGCCTATTGGTAGATTCCGAAACAAAAGTTTTCTTTCCATGGGTCCTATGCCCTACTAGACCGAAACCTACGGTTTAAAGGGAATTCCGACCCACTACAACTTCCAAGGCATTGCTGGGACTCGAGCCCGAAATCTGTAGCACCGAGTGAACCAGCACTAGTCGCTCGGTCATCAGGTCTCGATATGCTATTATTATATCTCAATATACTATTATGTATACAATATCCAATATACTAACTATGAGTATTAAAACATATTTTAGCAACGATAATTTCCAATCAATTTAAGATATAAAAAGTATATATAGTATATAAAGTATATACAGTATATCTCTTTAGTCTATATTTTAGAATTTTTTTTTGTCACTCTCCCATCAGGCCCCGAAATGGCTTGGTACGAATTCTGGCGGGGGCATGGATATGTGTGATTGGTTCGGAATCCATGTTGAACTGTAGGTCACTGTCTAATTAGCCTAAAGTGTGCATAAAATGACCGTTGTGCGACAAACCAACCAAATCAAACCAAAACCAAACTGGATTCTCCCCTTATTAAAATTTCAATATCCGTGAACATAGAATCTTGCACTACCACGTACTGAAAAATAGAGTTCTTATTTAACGCAATATAAAACGTTAAAAAATGTCGCTATGATATATCCATGTGTTTCTATCAATATAACAAAATTTAATAAGGAGAAGTTAAATTACGTCCTAATCTGTTAAAAGGTTTTTCGAAAAATGTAAGCGTTCTGGGAAAATCTTATATTATATGTAGAAAAAGAAATATAAAATGTTTTTTTAATTGAATTTATTATCCATTAATGGATTTTGGAGAATTATTTTTAAAAAGAAATTCGCTTGTATATTAGCTAAAAGCTTTACTTCAATTCTCGAAACTACGGTTTACTTTATAAAGCGGTTTTTTTTCCCATAATTTTGTCGTACTTGGAAACTGATTATTTTAAAGTACATTGTAAAAAATAAGTTATTTCTAATAAATTTTAAAACGGTATTTCGAGCATATAATAATTTCTATGCCTGATATATCATATTTCATACAAGGCTGATTTTAATCATAAGCATTAAATATTTTTTAAAACTTCAAATGTGCATTCCATGAATTTTTTAACTACATAAATAAATGAAATGAGAAGTCGGTAATACGACATTTACATTTTGTAAGTTCTAAAGAAATCTAACATAATTTAATGGAAATAGGTTATTTTTTTTGATATTCTACCATTATACATATGGATTTTACGATATTTTTTAATAAAAATTAATTTTAATTTCATATTTTTATCATTTCATGTTATATAAATATTATTAGGTAAGAAATTTATTTTAAAAATAGTATAGGAATATCACTGGATAAACGATGTATCTTATATATTACATTAATTTAAAAAGTTCTTTTGGTAAAATTTAAAGCGGTTTTATTTAAAGAGGTTTTTTTTTTTTTCAAAATATATATTACTTTGTGATGTAAAATAACTTTTCATATATGACATAAAATCGTATATTTTTTATCCATAGGTATTCTATTTTGGCATAATGAAGAAATCGTAGAAATATACATTCTTAAAATTTACAAATTAAAAATGAAAACAAAATTAAATTTATAATTTATTTATTTTTACTTTTAATTAATTAAATCGGAGTCCCCATGCTAGGCCGCGCATTCTGCTACTATTACTACACCACACCATATCACTGCCCCTGAGAGCCGAGTTGCTCCTGTACAGTTTGGGAATGATGTGGGTGAGAAGTCTAATCGGGCTCTGTGACGCTCTACAGTCATATGGAAAATACTTAGACAGTTATCCTTATGTCATAAGCAAAGACTGCACCGATGTTACTCATTGATCACTACCCAGGGGCACGCGTAGCTTGAAGATACAATACAGACGCGAGTAACACTACCCCTGCAGCGCTCTACGATCCTATTAGACCGAGACCTACAGTTTAAAAGGGATTCCGAAGCACTACAAACATTCATGGCGTCGTCGGGACTGGATCCCGAAACCTGTGGCACCGAGCGCCTGAGACTCGGCCATTCAGGCTCCAAATTTTTGAATGCTAACGGATACGCGGTGTTCCCAGTTGGTCACCCTCCCAAATACTGACCACACCCGATGATGCTTGACTTCGGTGATCGAAAGATAGCCGATATATTCAGCATGGCATGGCTGTTGTCCGGCCATCCTGCTATATATGACGCCTGCGCTTGATCTTGTTTTTCACACAGAACGGGCAATTTGGTTACCAAAAAGGCCAATGAGGTGCAGATGACTCGATGGATAAATATATAGTTATTTTTTTTTATCACTCCTATTTAATAGAATTTAAGTATTTGTTATAATTTATTTTATTAATACGAACTTGAAAGCATGCGTAAAAACTTCGTATTTACAGTTGAACCGTGTAATATAAATTTTGAAAGTTCTGCAAGGTTATACTTCTATGTCCAAAAAATTAAACCAATTTTAAATTTAAAATTCCCGGGTCTTACGGAATTTCAATTTTTTTTCTTTCTCTAGGTTGCTGGCACTGTCCTTGACATCTGTGGGAAATTTGACGTCAAAATAGTCATTAGTGTTTGAGCTACGCTTAGCTTTGTATGACGCTAAAACTGATTCCGGCGATTTTTTGAAATATCTGAATTAATTGAGCAAAGGACTTGCATTCAATTTTGTTTGTGGAAGCGTATTAAATGTTGCAAAAGGCATTCGGGGAGCATTCTTACATCGGAAAGAAATGTTTAGAAGTGGTATAAACAGTTTAATGAAGGCAGAGAACGCGTTGAAGACAAAGAACCCTCTGGTCGACCCACAACCTCAACAGACGTAGATCACGCCCAAAAAATTAAAGATTTGGGGATTTCATACCGTCGATTTACAATTGGAGACCTTGCTGATGATGTTGGAATTTTAAAAGGATCGGTCAATTCCATTTTGGGCTGCAAACGCGTCAAATATCGATTGGGATCGGAAACACTGAATGCGCCAGCTCACACTGCATTGATTCTTCGTGGCCTTTTCGCCAAAAAAAGGAAACCCAAATCCTTCTACAACCACCGTATCCCACCGTGCGACTTCTGGCTATTCCCTAAACTCAAAAGATCTCTCCGGGAAAAAGACCTCTCCACCCTTTTGTGTCGATTGAAGAGATTCGACGTGCATCACCGCGCGCTTTGAAGGCCATCTCTTCCGATGACCTTTTATCATGCATTGAGGACATTAAAAAACGTTGGCATAAGTGCATTGTGTCCGGAGGGGGATTACTTTGAAGGCGAAGAAATAAGTTTGAAAGAATAAATAAAGAGTTTTTGAAAAAAAAAAAAATAATAATTGGTCTTACTTTTTGGGCACAGTAGTAAATACTTTACACCTTAAATTGATTGTAAATTATCATTTCTTATATATGTATTAATACTCATATTTAGTATATTAAATATTATATATAAACTAGTATATTGAGATATAATAACAGTATATTGAGATTTGATGATCGAGTGACTAGCGCTCTGGAGCTCGGTGCCACATGTTTCGGGTTCAAGTCCCGGCGGTTCCATCGATGTTTGTGGTGGTTCGGTATCCACTTTAAACCATAGGACCAAGTCTAATATGACTATAAAGCTTTGGACAGAAAGCTGGCAACCCTACCCCACAAAAAGATTATAAAAAAAAAAAAGTTGAAGTCAAATTTTTTAAAGTTAAAGTTCGGTTAAAGTCTTATTTATTAGTCTAATCCCGCAAGAGAAATGATTGAGTAAACCTGAGTAGTTTTACCCATTATCTGTACCTCATCTCTAAAAACTTTCTTTTCAAGTGCACAAAAAATTAATTGGTTTCTTTTTCAGCCTTCAGATGCAACAAAAAAAAGGTCTACCCTCCCATATCTCCCAGATCAGAGCATCCGAGATTCCACCCCCGAGTATAATATCAGCCTTCTTCAGGAAAGAATAAACCGTCCAATTGCAATCGATAGCCAGCCAGGAGTCTGATTGCGATACTTGGCAATGCCGCCACCAACTTATTTAATGCGATTAATTGGTAGCCATTCGAACACGAATCGAAGGCCTCGAGAGACCTTAACCACCCCCTAGGCATCGTCTGAGGGTGGGAGTGGGTGGGCTTATTAGAGATTCTGAAATTGCACACAGACAATATGGTCTTTCATTCGGATATATTTGTTTGGGAGATCTTTATCAACTATTTAGATGGATTTGGAATTAAATATGCTGTTTTGAACGTTTTACTGCATGGAAAATCTTCAACTTAAGGCTCTTCAGCTAAAAATATTCTTAGCGAATGTGAAATAACATCAATTCTAAGTGGCTAAAATATTAAGTATTATTTTATATTAATAAATAATGGATTAGAGTAGATATTTAAAATAAATATTGTTTAATCTTTTATCGGAAGAAAAAGAAAGAAAGTGAAGAAACTTTGAAGAAACTAAGGAACTGCGTGTGGTTGGGTTGAGATACTAGAGGTACAACTTGGAGAAACACAACTTTATTAACACATGCACAAACACCACAGGCATACAATTAAAAATGCAATATTAAAACATTTATACTCGTAGAAGAACTAAGCCTAAAATCCTAAATTCGGCTAAATTCCTTACATTCTAAGCAGCGTGCTCGAAATATACTTCCTCTCCGGGTTAGAGTCTGTAGGCCGCCTAATACGCAGGGTGACGTTAAATATATTTCCTTTCGGGATGAGAGACTATAAACTAAACGTCTCTCAGCGGGACCGCAAGTCGCGCTATATATCCTCTCGGGTGAGCGTCTCCAGGCGACTGATCGTTTCTTCTGAATGCCAAGGAGGAGGTGGTCTTACCAGTGTGTAGGAGTAAGTACAATTACACTTTATCTTAGAGAAACCTATAATAGTAGTTGTTCTTGGATTTACCCAATGGACAGTATTTTAAAAGAGATAACGTATATTTCCTCTTAGGGTAAGAGGCATTAAGCTTCACCTTTCTTAACAAAAGCGCGTGAAAGTGCTTTAAGTTATTTAGATGTTTACTGATCTGTGTTCTACGTGTTCTGAAAGTATTTTAAGTTGCTTAAGTGTTTACTGATGTGTGTTTTACGTATTCTGATAGTGTTTTAAATGGTTCATGTGTTTACTCATAGAATATCCTTGACAATTTTGTCCACCGACAATATAATCTGTTGAATTATTCAGGTATAAAATAACTTCCTGCGTTTTATGGAAAAGGACAAATAAGATCGCGAGAATTGTTCAAGTGAAAAAATGTCCGATTCAAACATAAACAGGCCTGTTGTATGGGGTTCGTCACTTTTTCGCTATGCAACAACAGCGGTTTTTTTTAAATAATAATAAAAAATAGAATAGCTGAATGACTATACTGTACCCCCCTCTTTTTCTAAGGGAAATTGGGAATCTTTAATTCAAAAAACCTAGGTTTAGTTAACTATCACTTTGCTAAAACTGTAACTGTACTTGTCAACAATAACAAATAACTGTACTGGTATTATAACTGTACTTGTCAACAATAATAACAAATACATCAGCATATAAAAATAGCTAACAGCTTTTGTTGATTATAATTATTTGTGTTAATCGTATGTACGATGCAAAAATAGTCAGACACTTAAAATTTTTTAAATTAAATATAATTTTTGCATTACTTTAAAATGACTTTATTCATAATTTGAAAGAAATTTTCATAAAATAGAATATTCGTACTAAGTGGTGTATAAAAGAATATGGAAAAAAAAAAAAAGTACAAATAAAATTGAGTAACCATCTTTTTTTTTCACTAAGAATTTAATAGTAAAAAGTATGATATGAATTCAAATTAGTAAAAAAAATAACATTCAATCCTCGATAATATTGATAATATAATGATTTGAAATTAAATAAAAAAATTTTTGATAAATGTAAAATTGAAAAAATAATGATAATAATAATAAAAGTATAGTTTATTTGTCATTAACTTTTCAAACTCCAAAACAAACTCCATTCACAATCTTATTCTTTGTAGAGATAATAAAATTTTCGTTTTAAATCATAAATATGGATTCATTTAAATCATTTCTCGAAATGTTAGAAGGATAAAAAAGAATTTAAATTTATTCATTTATTTGAGAATAGTAATAAAAACAATAATTATTTTTTAAAATAGATAAACCATTTTTGAATTATTCATTATGTTGTAAATCGTAATAATTTTTTTTTAATATATAAATAATTTTGAAATTGTTCTTTATTTTTAAGAATACTCATTATTTTCCTGAATTTATTAAGATTTTTTAAAAAGAACCATTTATTATTATAATATTCAGTGTTATTCATTTGTATATATATGTTACAGAATAATATGTGTTTTGAAAATTGATGATCATCCAGCCTATAAAGCACATTTAAAAATGGTTAAAACCAGCGATATTCAATATAAATTTGATTACATTTTTAATTTACGTGTAAAATAATGGATAATAAGATCTTTTATACAAAATTTTCTCGCTTTCTTATCTTGTTTGCGGTTATTTAAGTTTTTTTTCGGTGTAAATGCATTATGAATTTGAAATTTTACCAAACCAAACAAAATACGATTCCAAAAAGCACTACTTTATAAAACATTTTAATTCAACTTTGATGGAACTTTAAATATAGTTTTTTATTGTAGTCTGCAAGATTGGGCAACCAGATTGTAACTGGGTGTGGTGCGTTGAAATACTTGAGTCACAGGCTTATTTAAACACGCACAGACACACACAAACAATACGAAACACACAATATTTGACACATTTCAAAGACAGATAATTATATATTTGTGGAAAAACTCCACTTCTGAGCAGAAACCTCTGAATTCGGATACACTCAGGGTGCGCGAAATATACTTTCTCTCCATATGAGAGTCTGTAAGCCAACTGACCATTTCTTCTTATAGCCACAAAGGGCGCTCTTGCCAGTGGGTAGGAGGAAGCATAGTTACAATATTACTTTTAATTCTTTATAAACGTAAAACATGTTTCCTTTAAATATATAAAACTTTATTTAAACATGCCTCACTCGTGGCTCAGTGGCAACACGCGCTGTTGGTGAGCATTAGTGAGGAGGTGGTGTCTTTGTTGTAAATACTGTTACAAAAAACGAGAGACTTCATGGCTTTTGGAATGTTCAGCAGCTTGCCTCGGGAGTCGGACTAT